GAGAGTTATTAAGGATCAAAAAGTGTGTACTTACTTTTGGAACACTCTGTATAAGTAAGAGGCCCGTAGGAATTATATGGAGAAGTGTGATTTTAGGGTAGTTACAAAATCTTGATTTGTCTCCAAATTTTACCTCGATTAGGATTAAGCAGATCTTTGATGCTTATTGTCACGCTTGCCTCACTCTATCGAATAATACATCAAGTATGCTAGGAAAACAAAAGTTTGATTTTTTAAGTAAAGAAGTTATTTCTGGACAACCTTGTATGAGCTACTGCACAAAGTTGAGCTCGAGGTAGCACTCTTTAGAATTACAAATGGTAAACACAAGAAAGTCATTACATTCAACGCGGTGCAACTCATCTGCAAGTCTTGTCAATTCATAGAACAAGGGATCAAGGTAAGCACTTTGTACCACTGTGGAGCCTCATTTATCTCCAGCTTTCGAAAGCTTCAAAAGCTCTAAACACGCTTTTGCCGCGCCATAAAGAAACAACAAATTAACGGTTTCTCTTCATTGATGTGATGATATTCCAAACATTGTACATTTCTATACAGATAGATGCGATATTTCATGCAGCTGCACAACCGGGTTGCATACTTGATATTCTGTTGTACACTTTCTATTTCTCGCGGAACCTTTTGAAGAGTGGATGCCGGTCGGCGAGCGATTGCTGAAAATGGAGTTTAGTAGTATGATCTCTGCCAGACGGAGAGCTATGAAGAATTTCAAGATTACCTTCGATTTGTTGGCATAGGAAACGCTAGAACCGCCCGAAGCAGATGCCATAGTCGTTTCTCTTCGACTGACCTAAATTGTCCAAGTTTTAGTAAGTCACAATCTCACGCAAATCGACATTTTTGTTGTTAGGTGATTTGCGCATGAAAATGAGAGATTAATTACCCTAATCGTTCCGTCAGCCATTTCCTCCTTGACATCTTCTTCCTCAGCATCAGCATCTGATGCAGCCAACACTTGCTGTAATAACTGCAGCTGCGATTCCTGAAAAGAAACTTTGGTGCTGTGTAGCAGAAAAACAGTAACATTCCAGCCATTTTCCTCCTTACCTTGTTTCCAAACTTGAGGTCTTCTTTCTCCATACCAGGCAGACGGTTAACTACTTTGTAAGCATAACCTTGGTTCACCAAAAACCTGAACCAAAATCATGTAATAAGCTGATTTTTTTTCAACATCCGGAAAGAGCTCACCTTTGTCTTTTTCTCGAATAGCCCATTTCAACAGTATCTTGAGAGACTAGAGAGTAGAAAAACGCGTTGAACTGATCTGTGGAATGCTTTTTAGCGCGAAGGATACGACCCAACCGTTGGGCTTCCTGGAAATGTCAATATGAGACATTTAGTAGATAAATGAGCATACAACCACACCTGTCGTCTTGATCCACCGTGCGCAGACACTTGGATGAGAACGTTAGCTTCTGGCAAGTCAAATGATGTATCAGCAACCTAAACAGCAACCAGATCGGATACTACTGGTTAAATGCGGCTATAGGCTAGACTAACCTTCGATACAAAAATCGTATTCACGCGTGGATTGTATTGGAAGTTTTGCAAGATCTTCATTCGTTCATTTTGACTTGTCTCACCATAAAGGAATGGTTTGTTCATCTCGATTGCGTACTTTTTCAGAGCAAAGACATTGTCGGAGAAGACGATGATCTGTGAAAGACAAAATGAGGGAAAAAGATTGTTGACTTAATAAACAATAAACCTTGTCATTCCTCCTTTCGTGGAACTTGATAAGAAACTGACAAATTCGGAATTTATTGGGATTCATGACTGCAAGCAACAATCGTCGAGCAATTTGAGCTCTGTAAATAATGTAATGAGTGTAGCAAAATAATACCGCAGCTGGGGCGGTGGGGGACGATATTATTCAGCAGAAGAGATGGACTAAGGAACAAACCTCAAATAATACGCATAAAACTCGGAAGTCATCGGGCACCAAACTTCAGCACATTGCACTTTTGCAATATGGCCAGCCTTCTGCAGTTCCATCCAGTTGGCTTCGTAGATCTTCGGACCTGCAGTAGGACATTACTCGTATTCCAGAAAACGAATAAGGTAAGAAATGCGAGACTATACCGATGAGGAAGTTGAGATCAGTAATCTTGTCATCTTCTCGCACAAGTGTAGCAGTCAGCCCTAGCTTGCAATGAGCCTGTACGATAGTGAGCACTCGCCGGAACATCTTGGCTGGGATCGTGTGCACTTCTTGAAAAGGCAACTCTTTTTAGATAAGACACTTATAGCTGGATCGCCAAGAACAAAATCCGGAGACACACACATTATAGTGATGGTGAACATAACCGGTGTCCCAGATGATATAACAAGCAAGAAACCCTACCGTCCAACAACAACAGCCCCCATTCCTGGCTCTCGATAAACTTCATTGCCTCTTCGGCTGCATAGGTACGCTTGCCGGCATAAGCCACCATTGAGTAAGTGCTTATGCAGACCACAGGCTGCGAAAAAATTTTGTTGCTTGGTAATCAGCACATAAATATTTGCTAGCTGTTGAGAACGACAAGGTGCCCACCTTGCTTGCATCTGGTCCATGTGGTACCGTATCCTTTGCTTCACGAGTGAACCGCACTATTTGCTTATCAGTGATAGTTGACCATAACTGAAATTTAGCTTTGAAAACAGAGAAGTTAAGCTTTGAAATTTCAGAGTCGCTAATATTACAATGTGTACTCTCACAACTAACCTTGAACTGAGCTCTCCACTGCTCCACAGACACATTAGAGTTCGCCAAACAAAGACATCTCTTATTGACAGTTGTGACTGCAGTAACCCCTACTAACGTTTTACCAGCACCACATGGCAAAACGATGACCCCAGATCTGCAAGCAAAGTAGCAAGCAATAATAAATAAAAACGTCTCGGATGATGCAAAAATTCGTACAAATTTAGTCATCTACCAACCATGAAGTAAAAGAAATAGTAAGACGCCAACCTGGCTCGGCTATTTCCAAACATTTTCCTGAGGCTTTTCTCCTGATATGGACGGAGCGTGGTCGAGGGTTTCAAATCAATACCAAGGTTAGGATTCATAGTGTCATTTCGAAAATCGTACTCTGCCAAAAGCGGATACTCCAGCTCGATACACCGCTTTTGCACGGTTTCAATGCTCTCCTGAAAGCGAAACGCTTACCCAAAATGTCAGCCAGTACTTCAAAGATGGCTCTCGAGTCCACACACCTGTTTGATCTCGAAGGTAAGCAGTTGCAAACTTCGGATTTCTGCATCTTCTTCGTCATCTCCATCCATTTTTCCATAAAGTTCTCCAATATCTTCAGGAACCTACAAAAATAGGCGATGGATGGAAGTGAGTTAATGAAACAACAGGAAGACCAACGTTCTCTGCTTCAGGTTTCTTCTCTTCTTCCTTGGTCTGTTCTTGCGGGAAGTTGATTTTCTCTATCTGCGTCTGAAAGAAAACTCTTCCAAGCAACTGCGTCCAACGGGTCAAATGAAATGACAAACCTGCGTTTCCTCAACCGGTTTTTCTTCCTCTAAGATACACGACTGGATGACTTTATCCTTCAGAAGCTTTTGAATTACGTCGGAATGGCGAGATTCGACAAAGTATCGGTTGTG